TGAAGATATATTTATTTTTGAGCTACATTCAGCCCATGGACTCTTCTGTGTGCCTTATCTGAGCTTAATTATAGTTCAAAAATGGTTCGAATTCAACATCTGTGATCCTAAAGTTCTTGTTTCCTAGTAGACATGTACTTTATTTGCATTTAACTAACCATTATGACTTTTATGATACATCAAAAGTTGAACAAATATTACATTGTAATAGAGTCGGTAGTACTAAAAAAAGTTGTATGAATGTGAACATACGACATGTGTACATTAATTACTTTTTAGGTATCACAAAAATAATAATGGTTAGATAAATGTGAGTGGAGGGAGTACTTCCATGCTCAAACAGTCTTGTTTTGGAATCACATATCATGAAACTGTGGAATTAATGGAATATCATCTCGATGTGAATAAAAATTACAAAATTGATCATCCTATTAACACAGTTGATCGGCCTTCTAGTATTGTCATCAATATGTTCTGATGCTTAACTTTGAAGTTTCCTTCTCACGTGATATACTACTCTACTACTCGTATATTATTGTTACTAAGCTGTGTGGCCAATGGGATCAAGCAAGTCATTTTTTATCTATATGCATTTAACTATTTATTGTATTCATAGGCTGTGCCTGCGAGTTGTCATCATCTTCTCACCCATTAATGCTGGGATTGGTGATATGGAATTCAGGAATTTACTGTATATTTTACTGTATAGTCATTTGTCCGAATCTATTTGGATCTGGCATGCATGTGGAAGGCAGTGGCAACTGGCAAAGTAAATTTTACACTAAATTTACTTCCCGTCTTGACTTCCAAAAAGAAGGAATAACGAGACAAAATCCCAAAAACAGCATTTTCATAGTTGTTTAACTTGCTTGGAAAACATAATGAGACATCAATCAATTGTATGAAACATGTTATAAAGATTTTTACGGAGTATTTTTCTGTGTTTAAACTGGGGGTCTTTTTGAAACAACCTATATACTCCCGAGTAGCAGTAAGGTCTGCATACACACACCATCCTCACACACTACTTTTTGGGGGCTTCTACTGGTTTCTTCTTCTTCTTCTGCTTCTTCTTCTTCTCTATGTTGTTGTACTGTACATATATGTGTTGCATTGTGTTGATCTTCGTACTCAAGACGTATTCATGTAAAGTTGAACTCTTCTGAATACAGGTAATAAATTACTATTCAAAGAAGGGCATTGTTGCTAGCTTACATGCTGAGAAACAACCAAAGGACGTTACAGAAGAAGTCCAGAAAGTTTTGTCCTCCTAGGGAAAAACCAGAGCTGGAGTCGTGGATTTCCAATCGTACCCTTTGCCTTGCTGATTGTCCCTGACACATTATTATTATTGGAAGGACAATGTCCGTCCTTTTTCATAGCTCTTTTTTTGCTTTTGTTATCCTCCCGGGCTATTTTTCGAACTTCTTAGAAGCTAAACACAAGTGCAGCAAGGGTAGGATTTCTTTTTTTTTTCTTTCTTTCATGCTAATAAATTTATGAGCAGCTCTGACTATATCCCCTACATGTTATGCATAACTTATTTGAAATGAGAGATGAAATCTGAAGGACCTGCCAACATCTGTGTGCTCCATTTTGTGTTGAACTGTGCTCTTATTATATATACTGTATTGAGCAAATATGAGTTGCAAAAACTTCTGCTTTTCTGCAACTCTCATGCTTTGTTTGGGTAAATATAGAAGTATGAATAGAATAGAAGGTAGGTGAGCTGTTATGACTTGGGCCAAAATACTTCTCGAATTTCTTACTTTGACTTTTGATGACCACATTGAACCCCATTGGGGGATAGTAACTCCATACTTTAGGGCATCTTTTCCTGGGTTAAAAAGTTAACTTCAAACTTTTTTTTAGTTACTTTTAATTTTTTTAACCCATTATAGTTTTTTCTTTCCATTTTTTTCTAACGACTTAAAAGTTACGGAGTATTTATATATGATGAATATACAATAACATCATGTATCTAAAGTTTAAAAAAATCACCTCAAACACGGATAAAGAAGAATTCTTTTCTATATTTGAATGAGTATTTGACTGAATGATTTTTTTAACATTTTATTTTTTCTAATTTTTTTTAATTTCTTTAAAATTTTTTAATTCTTTCAACACTCTTTTTATTATTTTTAGTTTTTCCAACATTCAATATTATAATTCCAAGAAAAAGGAACAAGTTTTAATATATTGAGAACGTATACATAGATGTACATTGAAGGGAGTAATAGAATAATTAGTGTTAAAAAATAAGTTGATCCATCTACAGTTTTTCATTTGTAAAATTGAAAGTTCTTACTCTCCCTAACCATATTCCCCCCCACCCCTTCTCACCCAGTTTCGACCTCAACCCATCCCCCACTCACATCAATTGCATCCACAAGTTTAAATGATTTTGGAATAACAATTTTGATCCAAACTTAACTAAATTTGTGGGGTGCAATTAACGTTCGTGGGAGGATGGACTGGGGTCAAAACTGAGCGAGAGTTTACCGGGGAGGGGGGGATAAGCACTATCAATGATGGGTTTTAGGAACCTGGCTTAGAGTAGACTAGGCTAAGAATAGATGTGAATAAGATGAGCGTGAATAACATAGTGTTATTACTCAGTCAATAATAATAATAATTTTAATAAGAGTAATTATGAAATTATACCAGTGCTACTAGTATTATTATTACACTAGTTTGTTCGGGGCACTTACAGTGTTCCATTTATAAAAATGAAAATTACTAAGGTAGGAAGGGGGCGGTAGGGGGGATGGGGTGGGGGTGGGGGGGCAGACAAAGGTGTGGAGTGGGGGTATAATAATAATAATATTAATAATAATAATAATAATAATAATAATAATAATAATAATAATAATAATAATAATAATTTGGGTAAGATGAATGAGAAAGTTGGTCGTGGTTGGATACCTCGTACCGAGGGTCTAGTGTGCATGCCGTCATACATGCGGACCTCGTCGGTTGTGGGGGCTGAAAGTTCGTGGGGCGCAGTGGAATCACCAATTGGAAGCTATGCAAACAAATCAATCAACTATGCTGCAGAGAAGACGCTACATCACTGTTACAGTATCAGATGATGGACAGTGTGCTATAACACTTCTCTGTCCCAATCACACACAGAAGCAGATGATGCAGAGGACGTTACAGTGCCTACTGGACAGAATGCTGTAACTATAAAATGCGTAAAAATGACACCAGAGATATGTTTACGCAGTTCGGAGAAACTCTCATAATCTGTGGGGCCCACGTCCGTGTAATAGCCCTCCACTAAATCACTAGATGCAAGTTACACCGGCACATAACAACATGATGAGACACACTTCTCCGAATTGTTATGACAAAACTTCTAATCTAGGATTTCTAACTCGAACTCTGTTCAGATCCGCTTCGGCTATCACATCTCCACCGAGATCACGAGGACAAACGTGTTGGCAGCCATCTCCTTAAGCTCTGGTTCACCTCCTGGTAGTCACGATCTATTTTTCGTTGTAGGACTCCTTCATGTAGATCGTATCTTTCTTCACACAAGGGAAGCTCCGGGACGCGACGGGAATGCTCTACATCAGCGTATATTCTTTGTTTTCCCTCTCGATCGCTCCAAGTAATTACCAGGGACCTGATGCGTTTTTATAGGCTCCTCTTAACACAATCCTAGTAGGAATAGGATAATAGAAGTTGGCTTGAACTCTACTTCCTTAATCTTGATCCACAAGTAGCCTAAAGAGTTGGGATTCCTTAGTATGTACAGCTGGAGTTATTATCATGTAATCACAATCCCAATAGGTCTCTAATTCAGATTGCAGCTTAAAATCCCATGTTCAGACCTCTGATCCCGAACAATGTGTTGCAGCATTGTGCTGTAGCATCTTCTGTGTCAACCTCGAAAACTGCAGCAACTCTAGAAGTCTAAATAACATAAACCTCTCCTAACAAATAGAGGTTTCTACCTAGTAAAACACCTAACAAATATGAGATTCTATTTTGCCAAAAGATTAGCCAACACCATGGAACTAACAGGCACGAGGGCTCATGGTGCGGCTGAGTGTCGTTTAGGAGGCCGGGGCTGGGAGTGAAGCCACTGCCAATCAATTGGCCGAGCGCCCAGGTTGAACTACTTGGTGTAGTTCCGTACTTCTTCTATGGTTGGGCTCGGTATTGATTGGGTCTGGTACACCCATGTTTAGGATATTCATCAATCAATTTTATAAATGGAGCACCACAGATGTCTCAATTGGGACAATATCTTCCGTGGCCACTCAAAGTGAGTGGCCATAGTACTTGGCCGTTTATATTATACTTTACAAAATACTTCAATAAAAGAGAAGTGCAAGAGTTACAAAACAGTTATCACAAAGTTCACAAACTTGTCATATGCACATTAAGATTTTCCATTTTTTAATTATTTAAACGAGTTAAATTTTTAATAAGTTTACAAATAGTAAATTTGTGAATGTTATGACTATTTTATTTGTGACTCTAACATTTAATAAAATCATTTTATCATGTTAGTAATATTTTAAGAATTTATTAAGTTAATAAATCAAGCCTTTACTAGCACTATGGCTGTGCGCAATCCGTGATAGTACTAGAATCTATCAGTGACACGTTTATTAGAACTGTATAGTATTGGTACATGATGAACATCAAAATTATTCTATACCATTCTATTTTAAAACAGAACAACACAATATCATGACATGATAAAACCATTCCAAAAATATTAAGTATTCATAATTCAAATATCTAAATGAAAATAGAGGACCATATTGTTCACAAAAATGCATCCGAATTTAAAAGATTATATAAAAACACTACTTATATGGTATGATCAAACAAATAATTGAGACACCCCGTAATTAACCTCAAATGGATAGTTAATTTTATTTTTTTGTACCTCAGTCTCCTCTAGTTTGACAGCGGTTCGGGTTTGGATTGGGTTTGGGTGATAGAGCAATTGGTTGGTTATGATTAGTATGGTCCGGTCGGGTACCGTACTCTTTGTCCATCCCTCCCCAGCGCGCATTTTTTCTCAGTAAACGGTCGATCATCAGCTCAGCTTAAAGGCTATAGAAGATAGTCCACTCCATTGATCTCAATGCAACTCTGGTGAGTATCTGGTTCTATTTCATCCTAAAGTTTTGATTCAGTTTAACTTTGCCTAATTTTATTTAGGTTTATTAATTCTGTAGAAATGAATAGTATTTGACAAGGTTTCGCAATAGATGCTATTGAATTTCGATTGTTCAGATGTTTGATTCATACAATCTTTGATTTTGGCGGTGGCTGGATTGGCAGAGAGCGGCTGAGAACTGAATTCAGAGAGAAGTTAGGGCAAAAAAAAATGAAATTGGCACCGCGAGAAATCGAAAAATTGATGCTCCACAATGCAGGGCATCTCGCGCAGAAACGCCTTGCTCGCGGCCTACTCCTCAATTACACTGAAGCTGTTGCTCTCATAGCCACCCAGGTTGTCATGATTTGCATCCCTTTTAGTTTCTTTTGCAGTTTTATTGATTTAGTTTTGTTGTACAGTGTAATAACTTGCTTAAGACAACCACATTGATCTTTAGTCATGTTACTGACCTCGAAAATGGGTTTGAGGAGTAAGTTTTATAAGAGACTGAAGTTTGCTGGAATTTTAGTCGGAGGAATCGTAACGCTGCAAAGTAGCGTTATTGAAGATGGTATACAAATGTGAATAACTGACTTGATAGATTAAACGAATCGCGCAAAAATACGTTTTCAGATTAAAGTTATTTCGGGGTATACAAAATACTTCAATGGGATAAGACGTTAATTCAAGAACGACTGAACGAGTATCGAATTTTTCTGCATCTCAAACATACCGTGCGTCTATAGATATATAGATAAAACCATGATCAGACACGTCCATTCGCATGAGGAGATAATCCATGCAAAGAGATGTATGCGGCTTACATGCCATTTTTGAACATATATCCATACATTCGAATATTATACAATTTAGACTCCGTTTACGAAAATCCAAAGGATTTTCATAAAGCAAAAAGTTCTGCCCCTTTACCCTGCTAGGGGCTACCACCCCTTGGATTGCAACCCCTGGACTCTGGGCTACCACCCCTTGGATTGCAACCCCTAGACTCTGCTATGAATTTTCAATATCGTTGAACGAGCGTGCACTCCGCATCTCCTAACTCGTTAACAACATCTACTTTAATTCCTAAATTCCTATGTGATCTAAGTGAATCCAATTACATAAAATAGTCGATGATACTAAAATCACCAACAAAGTTCCCGTCTCCTCCATAGAATCTGCATGGCGGAGACTCTTTTATTAGTACCCTCTGTTAGGATCAAATCAAGAACACTCACAGAAATCCGATGAAGAAGGTGAAGAAAAAATGAGAGAGTAAAAGTAGAGAGAAAGTGAAACACGTGAAATAACGTGGTAACACCCCGTGAGTAAACTTCCACGGCGGCTAGATGTGTTTATTGATGATTTCAGGCAGATACAATTACAGAGAATTTGACTCTTGCCTCTCTCTAAAAAATTAGCTACAAAGGAGAATATATATAGGCATTACAACCTCTACTTACTTAACCATTAAGAAAACTTAGTCATTAAGCAAACTTAGCCATTAAGTAAACTTAACCATTAAG